AGGCGACGGAGAGCGCCCCGGAGAGCGTCTGAAGCCCGGAAAGTTGCCTTCAATGCCCAAACCGGGGATCTCTGTACATTTTTGTACACGACGCCACGGGCCGAGGCTTCGATTGTACACGCAGGCGGTCCTGTTACGTTCCCCGGCGCCAAAGTCCCCGTCAAGATTCGTCTACTTCTCCCGGAGTTACGCCTCCCGTGAGGTTTCGGGCGCTCGCGCGCCGCGCGCGTCGCGCGACGACCGCGCGGCCGGAGCCGATTCCACCGCCGAACTTGGACGACGCCCGCCTCAAACACACCACGGACGCGCCTATGGGTACTTTCCGCGTACGATTCGACGTCGATCGCGTCACTTAGCGTTTAAATGGCACCCAGCGCGCCGGCTGATCAGATTTTGGTTGAGTGGCCTATGGCGGAGCCCGTCGCGTCCTTCAACAAGTCAGTGTTTCTGGTATACGGAATATTAAAATGTTCACTCAAAAGGTTTTTCCGAGTCTCTCACGAACTCCGAGTCAAGCTCTATCAAACGGAGGGCATGATCGCACCGACCCAGCTCGCGCGCGAGATCAAGGACGTGCTCGGCAAGGGCTGCACCATTTGCGGCGTGACCGGCAAGCTCCTCGCATGCCCGTGCGCCACCGTCAAGTACTGCTCGGTCTCGTGTCAGCGCGTCGACTGGAAGGCGCGCGGCCACAAGATGGTCTGCCGCAAAATCCGGGCGCGCGCCGAGGCGGCGGCGCAGCACGACGACGCGCGGCGCGACGCGGCGCAGCCCGACGCGACGCCGGAGGAGCCGCTGGTGTTCTACGGGCCCGCGCCGCGGTCGCGCGCGGACGAGGCGCGCGCGCGCATCGCCGCGGCGCATGAGGCGGCGCGCGCGCGGCGAGAGGCGCAGCCGGAGAAGGCGCCGTTGTCCACGCGCTTCGGCTCGCGCTGCCCTGTCTGTCTCGAGGACTGGGACGTGAATGAATTGGGACATTTTACTAGAGTTTGTTGCTGCCAGCGGATCTGCAATTCGTGCGAGGAC